CTGTGAACGTTGCCTCCTGGGGCCCTCTTGGGATGGCTCTTGGAGTCCTCCTGGGGCGTTTTGGGAGCGTATTGGGCCGTCTGGAGGTTGCCGTGGCCGTCCTGGGGAATCTTTCGGCGGCTCGTGGCCCCCTGGGAGCGTCTTGGGAGCCTCTTGAGGCCCTCTAGGCCCATTGTGGGGCCCTCCACCTCCCATGATGCGTTCGGGCCGGGCCCAGGGGGTCCAGGCGGACCCCCTTTCTCCAAATCGACCGGACTGGGCTCTGGGAAAGGGGCTGGGGGAGGGGGAAGCACCTGACATGCTGATGACACCCCAAGGGGTCGGCGGATTTTGCCGCCACGTGCACATTGCAGTTTATTTTGAGAAGGATGGTGGGCCTGCACACACGGGGTAATATGATGCCCCCCGCCTTCGTGTATGGCGGGGCGCCCGAAGATAATCCATATCATGTCGCACGGTGCAATGTGTAAACCCGTGGGACATGAACGGAGTTGGCCTTTGGAAGCCCTCTTGGGAAGCTGTGCGGGGCTCTCGTCAAGTGTTTTCGGGGCTTTGGGGCTGATGTGGGGCGCGTCGGGGCTTTGGGACAGTGCACCGCGTGCTCGGGAAGGAGTGCCCTGGGGCCCCCGGCAATCGCGGCACAGCCCGCACCGTCAGTGGTGATTCCTGCGGCTGACGTTCTCAGCGTTCGCCGTGCACGATTGAGCGAGAAAAATTTGGGACACCTTGGAACAGGACCACATGTCAAGCAACCCCCGAACGCGGCAGGAGGAGGAGGAGGAGGGGGTGGAGGAGCAAGAGAATGAGGAGGAGGAGCAGGAGCAGGAGGAGGAGGAGGAGCATGAGGGGCAGGAGGAGGAGGAGGAGGAGGAGGAGGAGAAGGTAGAGGAGAAGGAGGAGCAGGAGGAGCAGGAGGAGGAGGAGGAGGAGGAGGAGGAGGAGGAGGAGAAGGAAGAGGAGAAGAAGGTGGAGGAGGAGGAGGAGGATGGGGAGGAGGAGGAGGAGGAGGAGGAGGAGGAGGAGGAGGACCTCCGCCTGCCGGCCGAGGCCTCCACCAGCACGCCCAGGGGCAGCGCTCTCCGCGCCGATTTAACGGGGGTGGGGGTGCAGGCCGGCGGCCCCGCCCCCGCGGAGGATGCTGAACAGGAGGGGGTTCCCGTTCGTGTGCGAGCACTTCGGCGTGTTCCGCGACAGGTCGCCCCGCCCAGGAGGAGGATTGGGGGAGGCGAGGGAGGGAGGGAGGGAGGAGGAAGGGAGGGAGGGAGGGAGGGAGGGAGGGAGGAGGGAGGGGGGGGGGAGGAGGGAGGGAGGAGGGGGAGGGAGGGGGGGGAGGAGGGAGTGGGGGGGGAGGGGGGCACGGCGAGAGGCGCGGAGGGAGGCGGTTGATGCGGGCTGCGGGCCGTGCGTCGGCGGATAGCCCACTTCCCCCCCCCTCCCTTCCTCCTCCTACGTGGGCACGCCTTGAGGCATTGTTGATTGAGCTGAGAGAGAGAGAGAGAGGTGACGGAAAGAGAGAGAGAGAGAGAGAGACAGAGAAAGAGAGAGAGAGAGAGAGAGAGAGAAAAAGAGAGAGACAAAAAGAGAAAGAGAGAATTAAGAGAGAGAGAGAGAGCGAGAGAAAGCCGTGGATAGCGAGAAGCCGGCACCACCTGTTGTGCCCTGGGCGGGAGCACGAGGTGAGGGCAGAGAGCCCCTGCGAAGCGGCATCCCCGCGACGAGCGTGCCAGGCAGGACGAGGGGCCGGCAGCGAGACAGTGCGGGGTGAGGCGGAGCAGCCCCCACAGGAGGGGAGGTGAGAAGGGGGAGGCGAGAGAGGAGATGAGAAAAGGCCACCTCGAACCTCGGACGATCTCTCGAGAGGAGGTGTCGAAAATCGGAGGGCCCCCAGCGTGACCACACCCATTGTTGGCGCCGCCCTCTTTGCGGGGCGCTCGTGGTGGCCCCGCTCCCTCGCGCAGGGGCCTGGCCGCGTGTGCCGTCCTCGCGGCGGCGGCAGCGCCGAGACGGCAGCGGCCGCGACGGGCGGCAAGTTAGGCGCGCGCGCCTTATCTGACCCTACTTCACCCATCTCTTCCCGTTGCGCTGAATTGTTCTCTGCTCGCCGACGGGCGTCCCAGCGGACCCGGATATCCCAAATGAGCCCACTGTGTGATGCGCAGTCAGAGACGGGAGGTTGTACATGTGTACCCTGCGTGCTGAGGGCGAAGGGGCAGATGTGCAGGGGGGGTCGGATACTGAGGAAGGAGGAGAAGGCGGAAAAGGGGAAGGAGCACCAGCAGCAGGAGCAGGAGTAGGAGCAATTGGCGGAGCAGGATGATCAGGGGAAGACGGAGAAGGACAAATGAAGGGGGGACAACGACGAGGAAGGATTCGGATCCAGAGGTTCGGCCCGCGCTGGGGCGAGCGAGCCATTACGAACGACGGGGGAAACACGCCCATCCTGAAGTAGCGCCAGCATTGCAGCGAAAGAAATGATCCCCATCAGCTCATCCATAAACGATGCCAAGGCGAGGTGCCTCTCAGAGTCTCTTCGGATGTCTCTTGGAAGCCGTTTGGACGCCTCTTGGGGCGTCTTGGGGGCCTCATAGCGGTCCTGGAGGCCTCTTGGAGCGTCTTGGATGTTTCGGGGAGCCTCTTGGGGCCTCTCGGGAGAAGCATCTTGGGCACCTCATGGGCCGCCTTGGCGCCTCCTGGGGCCCTCTTGAAGCCTTCCTGGGGCGCTCTTGGGAGCTTTGGAGGCGCTCTTGGGACCATCTTGGCGGACACCGATCAAAGAGGGGGATGGTCGCAATTCGCCCTTCCCCTCGGGAGGGGATTCCTCCTGGACCCCTCTTGGGGCGCTCTAGGAGCGCTCTTGGGCGCTCTTGGGGCCGTCTTGAGGCTCTTTTGGGCCCGTCTTGGGGCCCTCGTGGGTCATCTTGGAGCCATCTTGAGGCCTCGGAAGGCTATCAGAAGCGAACGTGCGACGATGCAACCATCATTGGTTTCCCTTAGGTGTTTGAAGGATTCTGGCATGTTGGACCTCTCATGGAGGTCTCGGAGACCTCCGAGACCAACCATGTTGGACCTCTCATGTTGTCTCCAAGACCAACCTGGCATGTTGGACCTCTCATGGAGCCGTCTTGGAGCGTGTTTGGGGCCTCTTGGACCATCTTGGAAGCCATCTTGGGCCAGCCTGCGCTATTTGAACCATCTTGGAGGCCATCTTGGGCTCGCTGAGGCGCTCTTGGAGCCGCCTCGGGCGAAACAGTACCGTCTGACCGCTCGCGAACCCCCCCGTGCAGGTGCAGGTGCAGGGGGTGGGGGGAGGGGTCAAGACTCCCTCCCCGCCCGCAAGCCGTCTCGCTCACTCCCACCCGCCCTCCCAACACAGACGTAGCACCCGAGCTTGGCCCGAACCGCAGCATATTCAGCAGTCGTCTTTGGATGGGCAGCTACTGGGGGCGAATCCGCCGCCGCCGCCGCCGCCGCCTCCGCCGCCGCCCGCCGCCGCCGCCGCCGTCGCCGCCGCGCCGCCGCCGCCGTCGCCGCCGCCGCCGCCGCTGTCCGCCGCCGCCGTCGCCGCCGCCAGCCGCCGCCGTCCGCCGCCGCCGCCGCCGCGCCGCCCCCCGCCGCCGCCGCCGCCGCCGTCGCCCCCGCTGCCGAATCGCAGCCGGCGCAGCCGCCGCCGTCGCCCCCGCTGCCGCCACCGCTGCCGCCGCCGCCGCCGCCGCCGCCGCCGCCGCCACCGCCCCCGCCTCCTACTCGTTTATCAGTAACCAGTCGCGCTCAAGAGTCCCTGGCAACGAATGGCACAAATTCCACGCGAGCGCGACGTCGAACGCGCATGCCGGAATCTTTCAAAAATAGTATGTGTCGCACGGGTTTCAAAACCGATTGCCCCGACGCACATTGGTTTTGCATCACACGGTTGCAATCACATATCCGCGTTGTTTTTGTGCGCATTCATAGAGAACCATTGGTTCCCCCGCAAGAATTTCATCCAGATCGAGAAACCGGGCCTATCGCGCGCGAGTGTGGGAGTCATTTGAAAACCCTTGCGCGTCGAATCCGTGTTGGCGACCCGTGTCGAATAGTGCCATGCAGGCCACTCGCGCGCGTCGGCCGCGCGCGCATGTCGAAATCCTCCCGAAACCTTCATCGCCGACATGCGGACGCTATCGTCGTCATCGGCGTGATCGGCTTCGGCGCCGTTTTTTGCATTGCCGTCGTCACCGCCATCCTCGTCACCAGCATCGCTACGAATTGTCATCCTCGTGTCTGCCGTAGCCGACGCCGTCATGGTACCGCGCGGGCCCGAGCCAACGACTCGCACGGAAGGGGCCCGCGCGCCAGTGCGGCCTGCAGGACGCGTCCAGAGGTGCCCAGCGGTCCGCGCCACCGCGGTCGTCGGTCGGCTCTGCTCGCAAGCTTGAGCGTGCTAGCGCGGCGGCAGCGATACGCCAGCCAACGCCATGCAGTCATCGCAATCGCCACCGCATTGGTTTTGCAAAACAAGTTGCGGGTGGGTGGGTGGGATGATTGCGCGAGAAGTGGAGTTGACAACTTCGAGTCCGGCAGGGCGAGTTGCGCCACATAGATTGCACCACGTGGATTGCTAGATGCACCTTTCGTGGGTTTCACGCGCGCTCAGATCGTAGCATTTCGGTGAGTATAAAAACAGACAGCCACTCTCCCATGAAGACGCATTCGAGTTCCATCGCTTCGCGTGTGGAGCGAATCTACGTTCGAGCGCTTCGGATCCCGTCCGGTTGGTGGCCTCATGCTCTTCGGGCGTCTGTGCGGACTTGCCCGCGCGGCCTGCCACTCGCCCGCCCTCGCAGCGAACTCACGTACGTCATCACCGCGTTGGCGACGGAGGGCGACCTCTTCTCTTGGTGCGATAGGCGGGGACGGGATTTCTCTTCGCTCCCATTTTCCCCGTACGGTCAGGAACGTTTGCTCGACGTCCGCGCCGCCCGTTTCGGTCCACCGCGATTCGGCGCGACACGCCCACCTCAACACACGAGCGTCAACGTCCCGAGCTTTTCCAGGCCTCCCGCCCTGCGGAGCGGAACGACACGCTCAGCTCGCAGGGCATAGCGTGTCGCCGGGGCCACGTTCCGCAACACGCTGAGTAAACCAGTCCTGATCGTGCACACCGGCTTCGGCGTGGGCTGGATGCACGTGGGCGCCGTCCGAAATGTCGGCCGATTGACATCACATCGAAATTCCGCGGTCGGCGTTTCGGGGAACGCGCCAGATTCGGCCAGATCTTGGGCCTCGGAAGGGCCCGAATCCTCTCGCCCCTGCGAACAGCGCCGACGTCGAAAATGTTTGCCTACATCCACGTATGCCCGCATGCCTCTGCGGTTCCCAGCCTTGCCGTGGACGGCATGTCTGGCGCCCCGCGCGCGTGACCGCCGAACAGCTGCCCGGCGCTTCGCACGCGAGGCCTCCCGTGCTGACAGGACGCCTTGTTGCGCGGCACCGCCATCCCCCTCCCCCCTCCCTCCTTCCGTCTGCCTCCCCCCTTTCTCCTTTTCCTCCTCCGCTCCTTCCTCCTGCCTCCGCCCTCCTCCCTCCCTCCTCCTGTTCCGGTCTTCCGCCTACCTTCTCCTCCTCCTCTTCCCTCTCCTCCTCCTCCTCCTCCTCCTCCTCCTCCTCCTCATCCCATCCTCATCCTCATCTCATCCTCCTCTCCTCCTCCTCCTCCTCCTCCTCCTCCTCCGCCTCCTCCTCTTCCCCCTCCTCCTCCTCTTCCTCCTCACCCTCCTGCCTCCGACGGGTTACCTCTTCCCTCCCAAAGGCACCGCCCTCCCCCCCTCGCCGCGGGGAGCGCCACCAGGGCGGCCCCCTCCCCCCCCACCAGTGTGGCCTGCGAGGGTGAGGCCCTCGAGCCCCGAGGGCCCTGCGGAGTGGGCCCGCCGGGGTAGCTGTACGTTGGGCCGGGGGAGCCTCCGAGAGCCTGTTTTCAAGGGCTCCCTCGAGGGCGCGAAGTTATTCGCGCTTCGCGCTTCGCGGTCCTCCTTCCTCCTCCCCCTCCTCCTCGTCCTCCTCTTCTCCCCCTTGGGGGGGCGGCGCGAGGGCGCGAAGTTAGTCGCGCTTCGCGCTTCGCGCAGCGCGAAGCGCGAACTTAGGAGCCCTTGGTTTTTTTGTTAGACTCTGGCAAGTTTACGTGCATGGACGGGGGGGGGCGGGGGGGCTGAGCCTGAAGCAAGCCTGGGGGGGGGGGGGGGCGCGGAAATCACGCAAGTCGAAAGGCACTTGCACGCCAGTGTTCGCTTGAAGAGGAGCGAGGGGAGGGGGGGGTCGAACGCCATGCAAGTAAACTTGCCTGAATCAAAAAAAAACAGGCTCCGAGGAGGGCGGAGGTCTGCCGGAGGGCGGGACGTACTCAGCCAGGAGAGCGGCCTTCCCGGGCGACAGCGGGGGTGGCAGGGTGTGTGGGGGGGGGGCGGGGACGTCGCGTCTCGCGCTGGGGTGCCGTCTGGGAATGTGTGGGAAGAACCACCCCGACCTTCCAGAGAGCTATTTTTTTTAGCACGGGAGGCCTAACAACCTGAAAAACGAAACGAAACGGCCTAAAGCCAAGACGTAGAATAGCTCTGGGATAGGTTTTTAAGTCGCGCGCTATTTTTGTTAGCCCTCCTGGAAGGTCAGGGCAAGGAGCACTCGGAGGTCGGCAAGAATCGTGACGTTCCTTGGGGGGGCGGCCGGGGCCGCCGGTCGCGGTCGCCATCGCGGGCGCAGCCAAAGACATGTGCCTGGACCCCATGTAATCGGGGGTGGCAAAAAGGGGGATGATGACTAGGGGGGTGGATATCATGGCGTGGGCCATGATATTTCCTCAGATTTCATGGCGCCTCTTCTTGTTTCATTACGTCCCCTGGCCCCCCCGCTGGGCCGCGCACATGCCGCCAGTCATGATTTGCACCCCCCCCCCTCTCTTGGACACCCCCCTCTTGGCCGCTCCCGATGTAAGGGGAGTTGGTTCGCTGGCGATGGGGACCTGAAGCCCAAGCACTTGACCATCATCACCAGAGCTAAGTCTGCCGTAGCTGGTGGACCTTCGGCTGGCTGCAGTTCTTGTTGTTGGTATGGGGCCGGGGGGTCCCCCCGGTGCACATATCAATAAGCCAGGTCCGACTAAACCCAGTGCCGCCACCGCCCGAAGAGGTTGGGGTGTGGAGGTCTCGATAGGTCCGCGAGTTGCCAGGGTGGCCCGATCTCGGCGTTGTCCGGGTGGCTCGAGAAGTCTCAGGGTGTCGGAGTGCATGGGGTTGAATGTGAGCCTCGAGAGGTCTGAGGGTGGTCGGGGTGTCCTCGAAGGCCTCCTCATAAGCTGCGCTGCGCACGCGAGGCACCTGCAAGAGTGGGACCCGCGCGTCACCACCGAGCAGATTGTCACAGCGCGCCTTGAGCATCGAATCTACTTGCATCGAGGGCGCACACACAGATACACGCAGGCACACACATCACAAAGCAATACCCCACCTGTCGAGCACTACGCCAAGGATCCCAGCAAAGCCCTACACCTCATTGCCCTCAGCATCGACCAATGACCACTCATCGATAGGAGCAGCGCCGCTTTCAAGACACAGACCCCGACCGCGCACCAGGCGGAGACGGAATGGCCGAAATCTCCCACGGAGCACCTCAAGAGATTGCACGGTATTGCTCCGTCCTTCTGATGAAATCGAGCCTGCAAGGGCAAGAGCCGCTTATACTCAAACACGGGGTGGCCGCACCTCCTCAAACTCAAAGACAGCAGTGTAAACTATGCAAGTACAAGGAACGAGTGGGGCAACGCGGAGGGATTAGGAAGAGGGAGAGGTAGACGCAGGGAAGGGAGGAGTGGGGAATCAGAGTGGAGCGAAGCGGAGGGTAGGATGGAAGATTGAAGCTCGTTCCCCTCACCCTCATCCTCTTGCCTCCCATTCTGCTCGCCTGGAGTGTTCGGATATTGTTCCCCTCCGCCCGTTGACCTAAAGACTCACTCTGCTCGCCTCGGGTTCAATCCCTGCCCTGCTCCTATTCCTGCCCTGCTCCTCTCTCCCTGTCTCCCCGCCCCCTTCTCTGTCCGCCCCCCCTCTCCCCCCTTCTCCCCCGTCCTCCAAGGCCCCCCCCCCCTCCCGCCCGAGTGTCCGCCCCATCCTCTGCACCCCCCCCATCTTCCCACCTCCCCCGTCCTCCAAACATCCCCCCCGCCCGATTGTCTCCCATGGCTCCAGGTAGGCGGCGTTTTGGTGATCTCGTGCACCGTCTTCGTTGTGTTTTCGTTTCGCAGCAAAGGCAGAACGAAGACAGCACGAAGGACAACGGCAACAATCTGAAAACGACACAACAACACTGTTTAGCTCCTGAGCCCTGGGGTCCCCCTCCCCCCCTCTGCGACTCACCCCTCCTCTCCGCCATACTCTGACTCCTCCCATGCCTCCCTCCCTCCGCCCCCTCTGCGACTCCCCCCTCCTCTCCGCTCCTCCCTCCTCCCCTCCCGCCTCCACCCTCCTCGGCAGCGTGGCGCGCAGGCGCCTCGCTCCCTCTCCCCCACCCCCCCCGCGCCGACGGTCTTACCGCAGGGTGCCCCCCCCTCCCCGAGGGCTCCGAGCCTCTGCCAGGGTCTTGCTGCTCTTTTTGTTGTTGCTCCCCAGATATCCGAGGATTTGTTTTTTGTTTGTTTTTCTGTTTTGTTGTTTTGCTTGTTTTTGTGTTGCTCTTTTTTAGTTTTTTGTTGCTCTTTTTCTGTTTGTTGTTTTGTTGCTCTTTTTGTGTTGCTCTTTCCATCTGGCGGCTTCTCCTCGCCTTCGGCCTCCCAGACCCGTCGTCGGGCCTGGGAGCCCTCGAGCATTGGATCCGGGAAGAGCAAACAACCCTGGGGAAGGGGTCGGGGCCTCTCGGGCTGGGTCCGCCGCCGGTCGAGGATTGAGGATTGAGGAGGAGGAGGAGGAGGAGAAAGAGGGAGGAGAAAGAGGGAGGAGGAGGAGGAGAAGAAGGAGACAGAGGAGGAGAAGGAGGAGGAGGAAAATAATAATCATATTAATAGTAATAAACAACGATTAGGGGGAGGAGGAGGAGGAGGAGGAGGAGGAGGAGGAGGAGGAGGAGGAGGAGGAGGGGGAGACATCATATCGGAGGATGTCTGGGTCTCGCTCGGTCCGCCGCCGGTCGAGCTGGCGGCCTCTTCAGGAGCCTCTCTCCGGGCGTGGCGCGCGGGGCGGGGCAGGCCTCCGGTGCCGGGGCCGAAGCGGGAGCAGATGCTTCTGCCCATCGTGGTCCAGCTCTTCTCGGCCATCAGGCCCCCGCCCTCTCCTCCCTCCTCCTCCTCCTCCTCCTCCTCCTCCTCAACATCCAGCGAAGAACTACACGAATTTCTTGCTGAATGCGAAGAAGATATGGAGTTCGCGAAGCAGCAGGCAGACCGAGACAGCTCGACTCGATGGAAGGACTGGTGTGATATTGCATGTGCAGGAGGTGCTGGGCGTTTCCATCGCGTCACCAAGCTCAACAGTGTGCAGGCGCCAACGGTAGTGTGCAAGACCACCATAGACGGCATGAGCGGACACCCTCACCAGATAGTGTTGGACATGGAAGCCAAGCACCACAAACTCTGGAAGGCGACTGAGGAGGCACCGCACGCTTGGGTTCCTGATCGCAGCACCATGGATAGACCAAGTCCAGGCATGATCAGAGCAGCCTCGAAGGCGTTCACCACGAAGACCTCGAGCAGCCTTGCCGGCATCCACCCGTCACACTTTCAGCACTTGAGCGACGAGGCCTTGGAGTGCCTCTGTGATATCTTCCAGGCGGTTGAGGCGATCGGAGTTTTTCCCATTCAACTTACGTGGATGGTGATGCCAATGTTGCCCAAAGCAGTTGGAGGACACAGGTTGATTATTCTGTACTCGGCGGCCTACAGAGTATGGCAGAAGATGAGACGGCCTGGCCTCGACATGATCCAGCAGAGATTGGACCTCCCCTACTGGGGAGCGGCAGCGGGGAGAAGCGCAGTGGACAGTGCTTGGACCCTTGCAGCGGACAACGAGCAGAACGTATGTCAAGACAGGTTCGTGGTCACGGTAGTTGCAGACTACAGCAAGTACTACGAGACGATTGGGTTGGACCAGGCGCGTGATAAATTGATGCGCCTTGGTATGCCAGTTCCGATGGTCAAGGTGGTCTACAATCAATGGAAGGGGCCAAGGATCATACGGCTGCGACTCCACCACGGGGGAGCCCCAAGGCATGCGGATGCTGGGCTGCCAGCTGGAGATGCGTATGCAGACGTGGTGATAAAGGCTCACGCCGTCGAACAGTACGACCTGTACACGTCCTTGCATCCTCTGGTGCGCTTCGCCTCCTACATCGACGACACAGCCCTCGGCGTCAACAGTAGTGGCAAGCAGATGGTGATCGATCAGGCGGTGCACGCTACAAAAGGTTTCTTCAAGGTTGCACGAGCACTAGGGGCCAGCATCAACGATAAGCTCGCCATCGTTTCTAGCACCAAAGCCATAAGTGATGAAGTCAGTCGTCGGCTACACCTTGATATGAAGATCAGTTTGAAGAGTACGGCGTATTTGGGCACTGACGTTTCTGGAGGCAGGGCTCGGAATGCCAACGGTACGCGTGGTAAGTTTCGGGCAAGACAGAAGGTGTATGGTGGAAGGCTTAGGAAGCTAAGTAAGTTCAAGAAGGCGCTCGCTGCTGACAAGACGGAGAGAATTGGGAAGATCTACCGTGTTGGTGCGAGGCCTGCGTATACCTTCGGGGTCGAGGTCAACGGGGTCAACGACGCGGAACTCCTGAATTTAAGGCGAGACTACAACAAGCACGTCAAGCCCAACCACGGCGGCACCTCCGCGAGCGCGAAGCTGGTGCTGCCCGGCGACCCTGCTGCCACGCAAGCGCTGGCGCCTGCCCTCCAATGGTCAAGGGTGGTGTGGGCCGCCACAGCCAGACCTGCTACTGCAGCTGTTCCTCTTGCATTGCTGGAAGCCTGGTGGAGAAGGGCAGCAACTGAACCTGGAGTGGTAAAGCAGTGGAGTAAGACACGTGGCCCCCTTCAACGCGCAGCGCTTTCAGTACATCGAGCTGGGTGGCAAACGCGTACAGGGCTACTCTGGATCAACCATCGAGGCGATGAGGTGCATGTAGGGCAACTCACTCCTGGCCTTCTTGAAATGATGCTGAGGCAAGGCCTAGCAGTGCAGCGCGAGAAGGCCCTAGCGGAGAAGTGGGACATGCAGCCTTACACAAGAGTTACCATCGATATTATTCGGCGACACTGTCGGCCTAAGTCGAGGAAGTTCAATCAATATCAGAAGTTCTGTATCATGAACTGTGCCCGCGATGGTGTATGGACACATCAAGAAGCGAAGGAGAAAGGTTACCTCACGGACGGCAAGTGCGAGCGTGGGGGTGCGGACGCGCTGGTGCATAGGCTGGCGGAGTGTACTCGCCCAGAAGTCGTGGAAGCACGTCGAGAAGCTGGAATCCCCGAGTCTTTCCTTCAGGAGCTCCGCCAAGCACCAGACGATCGAGTCATCACCCAAGGGGCTTCTGCGTATCCTGAGTGGGAAACTCCTGACATGCAGCTCGGCACTGGCAGCGTGATGCTTGATGGTGATGGCAACGGCTTCGCTTGCACGCCCGAGACCATGGCTGCGACAGTGCTTGCTGAGACGGATCTGGAGATGGAGCTTTCGTTCGACGGGAGCTGCACGAAGCCAGACATTCTGGAGCTCCAGCGTGCTGGATGGGCTATCGCTTTAATGGATCCTCATTCGGACAAGGTACTATGCACGATGCACGCCCCAGTGCCAGCGTCGCTTCCGCAGTCGCCGGCGATGGCGGAGTACCTAGCCTACGCGTACACAGGACAGGCGGCAGATCGCCCTGCTGATGGCTATGCGGACTTCATGGGTACGGTCAGGATGGCGGCTCTTACGCACGAGCAGCAGTTACGTTCGAAGTCGGAATATGCGTGCGTGGCCACGTTCGCCCAGAGCCTTCCTGGGTTCCGCTTCCTCCGCAGCGTGACGCACGTGAAGGCACACCGTTCTGGAGCGGAGTGTGCTGGCCTGGATATGGCTACAAGAAGGCTTACATATGCCAATGTCTATGCGGACGAGAGAGCCAAAGCTGGCGCGGCGACGCACGCAGCTATCAGCGAGGATTTCGCGAAGGCCATCGACGCGGCCACCGTGCGGATCAAGAACTTCGCGAAGCTGGTTGCGGCAGTACTACCCCTGTTTGATCGTGATGCTCAAGAGCGTTGGACACGGAGAGCAGCCCAGGCCAAGAGGGTAAGGAGTACGCGTACTGATGGATGGCACCAGTGGGAGGAAGGAAGCTTCGGACTTCAATGTAAGGCGTGCTTGAAGATCCACAACCCAGGGACGGAAGTTATGCTCAATGGTTGTGGTGGCGCCCCTACCTTCCTCAAGGCTTTCCTCAACCAACCACTCGGACATCACCTAGTGGCGGTGAACCAGAAGGGCGACGGGCTCAGCGACGACGTGGTCCCTACGGTCTTTGTATGTGTTGGCTGTGGTGCTTGGGCGCAACAACGACGACGGCAAAAGCTCCGGAGGCAGTGCAAGCCGCCAACCCGTCAAGGCGTAGAAGTGCTGTCGAATCTTCGACGGGGTTTGGGCCCACACAAGACGCTGGCGAGGCATATGGACATGACGACCCCCCTGTGTAGGCTGATGCCCAAGGCCCTGCCCCCTCTGCTTTCGAAGACGTGTGTCACTCGACCTGTGGAGACGGCGGAGGGCACGGGGTACGAGCACAAGTTGGCAGCCATGATGGATAGGATAAAGGCAAAGGAAAAGGCGAAGCGTGAGCAGGACGATGACGGCAACACGATCCTCGGTCGCACGCGACACGCAGCTCCTGAAGCGGCAGATCCACAACATGGGGGTAGTGCTTGCACGGGGTCGGGGGCGCCCACTGAGTCCCTGGTGCCCACTGAGCCTGAGGGTCCTCAGCATCGCCACGTTGTCGATGCGCCCCCTGCGGCGCAATTTTGTTGCGATTTCCTACCCGCGCCTGGTGAAGACGGTGTTGGTGATGGCGCACGCTGCAGCCGCATCGGAAAGGAGGCAGGAGCAGGGCCTCAGCCGAGCGGCGAAGGTGGACAGGAGGCAGGAGCAGGGCCTCAGCCACCTGACGGAGACAGCGGTCTCGCCAGGGACCGCGTCGGAAAGGGGGGAGGAGCAGGGCCCCAACCGAGCGGTCGCGGCGGAAAGGAGGCAGGAGCAGGGCCTCGACCGCTTGCTGGAGGCGCGCAGCAGCGCGGACGCGCACGGCAGCCAAGTCTCTGGGCCCTTTTTCAGGCGGCATCGGGACGACGTGCTGAGAGCGGGCAGAAGGACCATGGGCCGAATCCCATGGGAAGGGCAAGCGGTTTTCTCGAGCAGCAGACGTTGGAGGCAATCATGGGCGTCCAGGCGCTCAGCGGCAACCACAGCGGGAAACATGCTGCTCGAGGTCGCGCAGAGGCTGATGGCAGTTATCGAGGTGATGCTGTGGCTGCGGTGGCAAGTACTACGAGGAGTACTTCGAGAAGAAGGGCGGCGCCAGCGGCCATGGAGGTGCCCAGCCAGGGGCGGCGAGGTCTGCGAGCTGCTTCTGAGGGCGCACTGCAGGGAGCTGCTGGCGCTACGACGTGGGGTACTACGCGGAGTGCTCCCTGCACGGCGCCTGTGGCCCTGGATGTGCCACCCAGGGGCGGCGCGGAGGCGGCTGGGGCGATCCGCCCTAGCCGCCGATCCCCCTGCGCGGCGAGGGGCTAGGCCGCAGCGGCTGCGGGCAGCGCCCGACGAGCAGCAGGCGCCGAGCGCCGAGCTGGCGACGCCGCTGGCTCCCGCGCCGAGTGCCCGCGGCCGCGGGCGCTCGGGCGCGGCGGCCCCCGAGGGGGCGACCTGCGACCGCGGGAGTGTCTCTCTCTCTCTCTCTCTCTCTCTCTCCCTCTCCTCCTCCTCCTCCTCCTCCTCTCCTCCTCCTCCTCCTCGTCCCTCCTCCTCCTCCTCCTCTCTCCTCCTCCTCCTCCTCCTCCTCTTCCTCCTCCTCCTCCTCCTCCTCGTCCTCCTCGTCGTCCTCCTCCTAATTTTCCTCCTCCTCCTCCTCCTCCTCTTCCTCCACCTCCTCCCTGTCCGCCTCCTCCCTGTCCTCCTCCTCCCTGTCCTCCTCCTCCCTGTCCTCCTCCTCCCTGTCCTCCTCCTCGTCCTCTTCCTGCCGCACTGTTGGGCAGCTGGCCCGGGGAGGGAGAGCGGAGAAGGAGCAGAAGTGCAGGGGCAGGCTAGCCAGGTCGAGCGAGAGTCAGTGGCCGCGCCCCGTCCGACCCTCCCTCCCACGAGGCTCGTGTGCGGCACTGCTGCCCTGTCTCCCCAATTAGGGCTTCGCGCGCCCCGCCTAGCTCTTGACCGGAAGGGGCCCGCTCCCGACCCGCCGACCAAAAAGTGTGGCATTGCTTGGCACTGGGCCTGGAACGCGCTCCCACGTGGCGAACGGGCGGCGCTCCCGCGCGGTTCCGCTCCCGACGATATGGCGAAGGGAGCGCCACGCGGGGTGCGCAGGGGCTGGATTGGAGCATGCGCCGCGCTGGCCGACGCGTCGCCCGCTCTCGCGAAAAAAACCCCGCTCTCGCTGTCTCGCCTGCATGCGATTGGGCGCATGAGCCATGCGCCGCGCCCGCGCGGGAGACCACTCCTGGGCGAAGTGCGCATGGACATGGGCGAGGGCGACGGCACGAGCGAAATGGGCACGGAAAGAATGGGCACGATGCCCAACAGCAGTTCCTGTTTATTTAATCGTTTTGCTCATTCCGCCGGCCCTGGAGCGCTATTTGGGGCCTCTTGGGGCCGTCTTGGGGGCCTCTTGGGGGGTTCTTGGGAGCGTCTTGGGGTTCCTTGGCGGCGTCTTGGGCTCCCCTGGGGCCTCTTAGGGGGCTCTTGGGGGCCCCTTGGGGCGGGAGGGGGGGTAGTCGATTGCAGCCACCCCCTCGGAGGCCACAATCCTCGTGAGGGGTGGCGATAAATAGCCTCCCCGGCCGGGACCCGGCCGGGGGTCAGCCGGGGTACTTTTCGTCCGGGGGCCCCCAGGGGCCGCCCCGCGCGCGCGAATTGGAAATTTTGTTAAGTAGTTACCGAAGATCTTAGCACGCCTCTGGCCCGTTGGGCCGGCGAATTTTGAACAGGCCTCGCTGTCCACGCAGCCGCGGCCTGAGTCCATTTGAGACAGAAGGCCGCCTGCCCAACAGTGGCCGCTGTTGGTTTGGGACAACATCTTTGGTTGGGCATAGTACCCATTTTGTCCGTACCCATGTCAGGCGTCCAAAGAAACATCGCCCACCCGCGCGGGTCCGCCAAAGTTGGCGAGTGACACCTGCGCGCCGCGTCGGGGCGGGAACGCCCCCATTCTGGGCGAGATCTGCACGGCGCCGAGGCGAGAGCTGCATTTACGGCTGCTTGCGCGTCGGCGAAAGTGCGTGCGAGAAGCGCGCGCCGCGCCCGAGCGGGAGTTGAGGCGGCGCGGCGCCGAGGCGAGAGCGACAGTTCGGCCTTTCGCGCGGGATATGCGGCCCGTCCCACTCCCGCCACGCATTTCGCAAAATAGACGTCGGGGGATTCCGCTTGAGGCCAACAATGCAGATTTTGAATGGTGGTCCCCAAACGTGGTGGTGAGAACACCCGGTGGTGAGTTTTGGGCGATTTGGGTAATGGTTTTCGAGCGCTGGCTGGCCCAGGAAACGCAAAACCTCGTGGCGACCGCGTGTCCCCAAACCCGGTGGCGACCCAGAATTATTTTTGGGGGGAATCGGGGTCACCACCGGGTGTCTCACCACCTGGTTTGGAGACCACCAAATGTGTCATGGGACCACCCGGATCTGGCTGCTTGGCGAGGGACAAATCCGTGCCGCTTCGGCGCGGGAGCGCCAGCTCGTGCGAGATCTGCGCAGCGCCGAGGCGAGAGCCACCTGCCTGCCCCGGCCAAAAACGCGTGCGAAAAAACGAGCGCCGCGCCCGAGCGGGAATCCAATTTGTTTGCATTGTCTTTCGGGCCGGGCGAAAGGGGGGGATTGGGAAAGGGGGAAATTTGCTGCATGCAGCTGGTTTCGGCCTCACCGAGGGGCCCATTCCTCGATACATGGGCGCCTCCCGGCGCTAGGAGGCGCCGGGAAAATCAGTTACGTGAGCTGATTCTCACCCCCCCCTTTGCTATCCCCCCCTTCCCCCCGACCCGAGTCTTGCATTGCCTTCTCGGCATCAGTGCCACAGTGTCGACGGTCGGCAAGGCGTCTCTGCATCACAGGGTTCTGCTCGACCTCGCGGAGCAAGCCAGGGCACAGCCAAGGCTGCAGAGTCTTGGCCGAGCAAGAAGCATCCTCGCCAGAGCGTGGGTGCTGCCAATTCCCTGCCTGGCCGTCCGAGTGCGTCCGAGTGTGAGCGGAGGAGGAGGAGGAGGAGGAGGAGGAGGAGGAGGAGGAGGGAGGAGGAGGAGGGAGGAGGGGGAGGGGGAGGGGGAGGAGGAGGAGGAGGAGGGGAGGGGGAGGGGAGGAGGAGAGAGGAGGAGAGGAGGAGGAGGAGGAGGAGGAGGAGGAGGAGGAGGAGGAGGAGGAGGAGGAGGAGGAGGAGGAGGAGAGAGGAGGAGGAGGAGGGAGGAGGAGGAGGAGAGAGGAGGAGGAGGAGGAGGACGAGGAGGAGGGAGGAGAGGAGGAGGAGGGAGGAGGAGGAGGAGGAGGGAGGAGGAGGAGGAGGAGGAGGAGGGAGGAGGAGGAGGAGGAGGGAGGAGGAGGAGGAGGAGGAGAGGAGGAGGAGGGAGGGAGGAGGAGCCCACTTGTTGTTTGACGGGCGAGCGCGGGGCTGCCGAGGCCGGAGCGCCTTTTGTCGGCCCTTCCGCGCGGGGAGGGGGCCCCCCCTCCCGCCGCTCCCGCCGCGCATGCTGCAGCAGAGGGCGACGCACTTCCTCCTCCCCCCTCCTCCCTCCTCCCCCCCCCCTCCTCCCTCCTCCCTCCTCCCTCTTCCTCCCTCCTCCCTCCCTCCTCCCTCCCTCCTCCCTCCTCTCCTCCGTCCCCCCTCTCTCCCTCCCTCCCGCCGCGCGTGCTGCAACAGGGGGCGACGCACTTCGGGCGAGGAGAGCGGTGCACAGGCACCGATCCTGGCGGGGCCCATCCTCGGGGGACGAAAAAGATACGGATACGTGTTGTCCCCCGTCGTTTTCGGCC